CGGTTCATCTGCACTAATTAAATGGTCTTTATGAACGTCAGTCAGTCCAATTGTCCAAAGGTCTTGCTTTCTCTCTTTTTTTTCTATTTTCTTTTTCTTCTCTTTTTCTTTTGCGTTTTTCTCCTATTTTGGGGATGTATTTATGCTAAGCTTCTAATGAACGCTGGTTCTCGTCTGTAGTTTTTTCTTTGTTTTTCTTTTTCTTTCTCGTCTTTTTTTGTCAAATTTCTTTATCAGATAGTTGAAGTATATGTATTATGTACATATATATATATATATATATATATATATATATATATATATATATATATATATATATATATATGTATGTATATATATATATACACATACACATACACATATACATATACATATATATACATACACACACACACACACACACACACACACACATACATATACATATATATACATACACACACACACACACACACACACACACACACACACACACACACACACACACACACACACACACACACACACACACATACATATACATATATATACATACACACACACACACACACTCACAAAATCTCTCTCTCTCTCTCTCTCTCTCTCTCTCTCTCTCTCTCTCTCTCTCTCTCTCTCTCTTACTCCCTCCCTCTCTCCCTCCCTCCCTCTCTCCCTCCCTCCCTCTCTCCCTCCCTCCCTCCTCCCCCTCTCCCTTTCCCTCTCCCCCCTCCCCCTCTATCCCACTCGTCTCTGCCTTTCTCTCTCTCTCTCTCTTTTCCACCCCTCCTACTCTCGAAAACTTGCTCATTCCCTTGCAAATCTCTGCCGGAGAAACAGGATTGGATTTGACCGGGGGAAAAAAAAATGACTAATCCCACCCACACGGACTACGACAGCTGGGAAAACGTACATTAGTTCTCGAGCAGCGGCGCTAGGGATCTCCCGGGATTTAGAAAAGGCGATTGGGAGAATGACTGAAAAAGTTTGCTGATGGGAGGAGGAGGAGGAGGATAAAAAGATAAGAAGGGTAATGATGGTGGTAATGATAATTTTGATAATGGTGATTATAACAACGAGAACGATGTTGATGTGGATGTTGATGTTTACGATAATTATAACGATTATAGTAATAACAGTAATATTAAGGGTGATATTGATGGTACTAATGTTGATAATGATAGTAGTAATGGTAATGATAATGATAATGAATAATATTTGTAATGATGAATATGACGAAGATGATGATGATAAAAAAATAAGGATAACATTGATTACCGTGATAATGATAACATTATTCTAATCACAAGATTAATGACACCAATATCAACAACAATCTTGATATTGATAATAATGATTATTAAAGTGAAAATTAATTTCTTATTTCATTATCATGCTGAATGCATTATTCGTATTGATGATAACGATAGTGAAAACAACACAGGGAATGTATTAGATAATAATACAATCATAAGCAGTGAGTAAGTGTGCGTGTTTCGTCAAATAGAGTTTGTATTTTTTGCAGTGACTCTAATGATACCAGCTTAGCAACGTTGCTTTTGCCTGTTATTTTTGCAATGATTTACGAGAGCTCTTGCATAGAGCTGACATGCACACGTGGCGTTTATTTTCGTTTTTTTTCTTTTTGACTCTGATCTCAAAATATTTCCATGCAGATGCGTTTTTTTTTTTTTTTTGGGGGGGGGGGGGGAGTATGAAATTGCATTATATTTATTTATAGATATAACATTCGTGAAGCTAATGCTAGTATGAATTAGTCTCTTGATTTGGAATTATGATTTTATAAGTGTATACGTTTTTGAGTCGGACATTAAGGGAAAACAAGTTCATTTCCTATTTATTCGCGCACACGCACATACACACACACACACACACACACACACACACACACACACACACACACACACACACACACACACACACACACACACAGACATACACATACACATACACACACACACACACGTACCCCCCCCCCCCCCCCCCCAACACACACATATGCTTATTTACAAAGGAAAAACGCGCCACGTCATACAACACTCAGCCTTTTCATGCCGTAAACCCGTGAACTCATACCACCCGTAACCTCTTTTGACCTAGGATGAAGGCTGCCAGCTGGTAGTCCCGCTCTGACCTCGATCTCGTCACCCCCCCACCCCATTCCCCATATCTAGCCACCTATGAACCCCTTCCACCCGCCCCCCCCTGTCCTCCATTCCCGGTCCCCCTTCGAAGCTCTTCCCGGACACTTCCCCCATCCAGACCACTCCTCATTCTCCATTCCCAGTTCCCAGTTCCTTCCAGATTTCTCCCCATACCCCATTCCCAACTCCCCTCCATCCCCGTCCACTCCATCATCATTCATAGCCCTCTCCCATTCCCCTTTATCCCCTCCCCTTCCCTCTTCTCCCTCCTCCCCCTCCCCTCCCCTCTCCTCCTTCCCTTACCCTTCCCTCTCCTTCCCCTCCCCTCTCCTCCTTCCCTTCCCCTCCCCTCTCCTCTCTCCTTCTCCTCTCTTTCCTCTATCCCCTCCCCTCCCCTCTCCTCCCTCTCTTCCCTCCTTCTCCTCTCTTTCCTCTATCCCCTCCCCTCCCCTCTCCTCCCTCTCTTCCCTCCTTCCCCTCTCCTCCCTCCTTCCCCTCCCCTCTCCTCCCTCCTTCCCCTCTCCTTTCCTCCCTCCTTCCCCTCTCCTTTCCTCCCTCCTTCCCCTCCCCTCTCCTCCCTCCTTCCCCTCCCCTCTCCTCCCTCCTTCCCCTCCCCTCTCCTCCCTCCTTCCCCTCCCCTCTCCTCCCTCCTTCCCCTCTCCTCCCTCCTTCCCCTCCCCTCTCCTAACGTCTCCCCTCCCCTCTCTTCCCTCCTTCCCCTCCCCTCTCCTCCCTCCTTCCCCTCCCCTCTCCTCCCTCCTTCCCCTCTCCTTTCCTCCCTCCTTCCCCTCTCCTTCCTCCTCCTTCCCCTCCCCTCTCCTCCCTCCTTCCCCTCCCCTCTCCTCCCTCCTTCCCCTCTCCTTTCCTCCCTCCTTCCCCTCCCCCTCTCCTCCCTCCTTCCCCTCTCCTTTCCCTCCCTCCTTCCCCTCCCCTCTCCTCCCTCCTTCCCCTCTCCTTTCCTCCCTCCTTCCCCTCCCTCTCCTCCTCCTTCCCCTCTCCTCCCTCCTTCCCCTCCCCTCTCCTAACGTCTCCCCTCCCCTCTCTTCCCTCCTTCCCCTCCCCTCTCCTCCCTCCTTCCCCTATCCTCCCTCCTTCCCCTCCCCTCTCCTAACGTCTCCCCTCCCCTCTCTTCCCTCCTTCCCATCCCTTTCCTCCCTCTTCTCCTCCCTCCCCTCTCCTCCTTCCCCTCTCCTTTCCTCCCTCCTTCCCCTCCCCTCTCCTCCCTCCTTCCCCTCTCCTCCCTCCTTCCCCTCCCCTCTCCTAACGTCTCCCCTCCCCTCTCTTCCCTCCTTCCCCTCCCCTCTCCTCCCTCCTTCCCCTCCCCTTTCCTCCCCTCCCTCTTTCCCCTCCCCTCCCCTCTCCTCCTTCCCCTCCCCTCCCCTCTCCTTCCCCTCCCCTCTCCTCCCTCCTTCCCCTCCCTCCTTCCCCTCCCCTCCCTCCTTCCCCTCCCCTCCCTCCTTCCCCTCCCCTCCCCTTCCCTCTCCCCCTTCCTTTCCCCTCCCCTCTCCTCCCTTCTTCCCCTCCCCTCCCCTCTCCTCCCTCCTTCCCCTCCCCTCCCCTCCCCTCCCTCCTCCCTTCCCTCCTCTCTCCTCCCTTCCCTCCTCTTTCCTCCCTCCTTCCCCTCCCCTTTCCTCCCTCCTTCCCCTCCCCTCCCCTCTCCTCCCTCCTTCCCCTCCCCTCCCCCATTGAAAAGCGAACGGAAAAGTCTTAAGGACAGAAACAATGAGAGAGCTGGTTTGGCCGCCTTTGACTTCGGTGCGAGTTTGGAGTTTCTTAAGGAGGAGGAGTTGGTGGGGAAGGAAGGAGGGAGGGGGGTTGCGTTGATGGGAGGGAGGGAGAGAAAGGTGGGAGGGAGAGGGGAGGTTCTCTCTCTCTCTCTCTCTCTTTCTCTCTTTCTCTGTCTCTCTCTGTCTGTCTCTCTCTCTCTCTCTCTCTCCCTCTCCCTCCCCCTCCCTCCCTCCCTCCCTCCCTTCCTCTCCCTCCCTCCCTCCCTCTTTCCTCTCTCTCCCCCCCTCCCTCCCTCTTTCCTCTCTCTCTCTCTCTCTCCTCTCTCTCTCTCTCTCTCTCTCTCTCTCTCTCTCTCTCTCTCTCTCTCTCTCTCTCTCTCTCTCTCTCTCTCTCTCTCTCTAACACACACACACACACACACTCACTCACACTATATCCCCAACACGAACACTATACCCCTCTCCTTCACATTATACTCCCCCCACCCCCCCGCACACTACGCCTTCCACAAGCTCCTGTTGAAACCCTATCGCACTTAACGTCCTGGAGAGACACGGGGCTTTTCCCAACGTCCCA